AAGTAATAGAAGCTCTAGTAAATATTCCAAATTTTGTTTATGAGATATTTTATTTAAATAAAAGAATGGGTTTTTTTTTTTTCGAAGATAAACAGTACTTAAAATTATCAAATCCGAAATGACGAGTACAATACAAAAATAAAATTAATAACTCTTCCTTAAGACCTCAATTCATTGATTTTTAGCCAACCACTATTGTGATCAAGGACAATTGACAAATGTGATAAGATTTAAAAGTTTAAAATTTAAAGTTAAACAATTTCATTTTTTTGTTTTGTTTTGTGCAACTTTAGCTCTCTCTTTAGAGATACTGTTCAAAAGAAAAGCTCTCTCTTCCATGGCAATGTCCCAAAATCTAAGACCATTTGCTCAAGAGAATGGTCTCTTGTGTAGATCGATTAAGAGAATTAATGGTGATGAATATCCTCCAATTGTAAAGGAGTATCAGATGGTTGAGTTTCCAATATAGCCACTTTCTTACAGAGATCTAGTTATGAGGTCGAAACCAATCGAAATTAGCGGCGATGTATCCTCTAATTTAGGTTATTTAGAGGAAGAATCTGACATGGAAGATGATGGAACTATACCTACTCTTCTCATTTCCAAAGAAGACAAAAGGTGAATTTGCTTTCCGTGGGTGAATTCCATAATCATCAATGCTTTTGGTACTGATGTTGCTGGATCTAACTTTATCTACCCAAGAATCAAGGCACAATGGAAACCCAAGGGCCGTATGGACTGTAATGACTTGGGGTTGGATTCTTTCCTCATTCAATTCCAGGAGCAAGAAGATCTCTTGAAGGTTCTTAATAGGGGTCCTTTGTTTGTTGGACCTTTTTATCTAACAATATGTCAATGGGAACCTTCCTTTAACCCTGAGAAGGCTGCATTCACTACTGCAACCATTTGGGCAAGGCTTCATGATTACCAATTGAGTACTATGATACCAAGATTCTTGAAAGAATTGGTCATCTTTTAGGCACTCCTCTTCGAATAAAGGTGCATATGGCTCACAAATTAAAAGGTCAATATGCAAGAATATGTATTCAAGTGGATTTAGATGAGCCACTAATTCTACGCATTAGAATTGGCAACCATATCCAGAAAGTTCTCTATGAAGGATTGGTTGCCTTATGCTTTTCCTGTGAGTGTGTAGGTCACAAAGAAAGCAAATGTCCCCTTAAAGTTCCCCCTCCCTCTGTTCCTATCCCTATGGAAGGGGAAAATAACAGTCAATTACCTTCTATCGAGATTGCAACAGATTGAGAGTTGGAAAATAAAGACTGAAATTCTTTTGGCCCATGGATGGTAGTTGAAAAGAAGAAAGGTAAAAAGAGGTTGAACACCAAGAATTCCCAGTTCTCATCATAAAATGAGAAACAAGACTCTGCCCAAAGAATGTAATGTGGGCCCTAAAGCCAATGGGTCTGGTGCAAGAGCATTAAATGACCATATCGTTTCTTATAATGCTACTTGGGAATCAATTCAAAACTCTAGTTTTCTTCAAAAGCTGGGCCGACTCATACTAGTCCCATGGTAAGTTTAGATGTTGAGATTATAACCCATACTAATCCTAACTCTTTTTTGGTGCGAGTCAAACAAAAGGTCATAAGGATAAGATTGCCAATAAGGATAAGATTACGTCCCTTGCCAAAGAAACACGTGGTAAAAGGAATTCATGAATAAAGCAACAAGAAGTCTCACATAATGGTCATAACCTACAAGTTCAATTTTCCTCCTCCAATCGAAGTGTGGGTCATGGATCCAAGGTCTTTCGAGATGTTGAGTCGAGTGTGGGACATCCTATTGGTGAAAGAGGATAACAAAGTCCTCTTAATAGAGAAGGCATTGTCATTGTTGCTAGAAAGGGACCCCAATCCAATCAAAGGGTGGAATCTAGACACAATTGCAAGGAAATGGATCAACCTCATTATGATTCAAAAGGGGGTGGATCCCACACCTTATCTTCCCCCCTTGACAAAGTGGGTCCCTTTTCTGCCTCACCTCCAAGCTCCAAACATGTGCATAACTACAAGTGCACAATGGAACTCAATAGGAGAATAGACAAGGTGGGACACCTGAGAGGAACAAATTTCACCTCAAATAACAACCATTCCTCAAAACTGCCTATATTTGAACAAGATCTTAATGATGGGATGCATGAAGACAATCCATCAACTTGTCTAGAGGAAGGAGGTTCTATGTTCCATGGGGGCTCGATTCATACAGACCATACTTTCTTTTTACTTTCTAGAGGTTAACATGTTGATCAAGAGTTGTCGAACATGTGGATAACTACAAGTGCACAATGGAACTCAATAGGAGAATAGACAAGGTGGGACATCTGAGAGGAACAAATTTCACCTTAAATAACAACCATTCCTCAAAACTGCCCATATTTGAACAAGATCTTAATGATGGGATTCATGAAGAGAATCCATCTAATTGTCTGGAGGAAGGAGGTTCAGTGTTCCATGGGGGCTCGATTCATACGGACCATACTTCCTTTTAACTTTCTAGAGGTCAACATGTTGATCAAGAGTTGTTAGACGGGGACATCCAATAGATACAAGAATTGGGTAAATGGGTCATGAACTCCTTCAATAACTTTGTTTGGTCAATGAAGGTTATGTCTTGAAATTGCCACGGTGGGTGAACAATGACTTTAAGCGCTTCGTGATGGATATTAAAAGAGAACATAATCTTGGAATCTTTATACTCTTGGAGACTAAGCTGGCAAGGAATAGGGCTGTTGAAGTTGCTCAAAGCCTTAGATATTCAAAGTGAGAGCTTGTCAATGCTAATGGCTTTGCTAGAGGCATTTGAGTGCTTTGGGATGATACTCAATTTACTATTGACATGTTGAACAAAGGATCTCAAGTTATTTATGCCTTGGTTCAAGTAAAAACTCATCCTTTTCTTTCTAACTTTTATTGCTTTTTTTAACAGTGTATAGTAGGCCACAAGTTGAAATTAGATGTATGCTTTGGGATAACATTA